AGAAAGAGAAGGATCTCGTGAGTTGGAGATGAGGAAGGGGAATATATTATGCATGGGAGATGGGTTATGGAGGTATACAGAGGCAAGAGATAAAAAATATGAACATTATGACATCTATAGAATAATCTGCAATGAGGTCTATACTGCATAAACCAGATTCAGAGATTTGGTTGAACCAACTTGTGCAAAATCTGGCTATTTATGACTTACAGAGTCTGGGGACAGGAGGGACCATACAGTCTAACCCTCTGATTTTATAGATTAATAATTAATTAATTAATAATTAAGCCTAGAGATCAGGTTAGTCACTTGCTAGGAAGCTCGTAAGTAGTTGCGTCAACAGGCATCTAGTAAGCCCCTGCCATGTGCCAGGCGCTGGGCTAAGTAGTAGCAATACTGAAACTTGAACCCTAATCCTCTAGCTCAGAACTGTTTTAATTATGCTGGGTGGCACAGTAGATAGGGCACTGTGCCTGAAGTCAGGAAGACTTGAGTTCAAATCCAACCTCAGATCACCCTGGGTAAGTCACTTAACTTCTGTTTGCCTCAGTTTCTTCATCTGTGAAATGGGAGTAATAATAGCACCTCTCTCCCAGGGTTATTGGGAGGATCAAATGAGATAATATTTGTTAAGGACTTAGCACAGTACATGATACATAGGAAGTGCTATATAAATGTTAGTTATTATTGTTATTATTATTACAATTATGTTTGCAACATAATGGCTCCCATTTACATAACGCTTTACATAGATTATCTCATTTGAGCCTTATTACTACCCTGGGAAGAAGTGCTGTTATTATTATCATACCCATTTTACAGCTGAGGAAACTGAGGCTCAGAAAGAAGCTGCATTGATCATAGGATCCTAGATTTTGAATGCAAAGGGACCTCGAGGGGCAGCAATCCAACCCTCTCCTTTTACAGGAAAGGAAACTGAGGCCCAGCTAGGTCGTCATTTGCCCAAGGTCACACAGGTAGAAAAGGTCAGAAGAAGAATTGGGGCCAAAGTTCTCTGCCTCCGGAGCCAACGTGCCCCTTCCACTGTAGCATGGTGAGTGATCTGGTCGAGGTCAGAGACAAGGTTTGGACCCAGACATTCCTGATGCCAGGCTGAACGCTCTAGCCACAATGGCATGCTGAGCAACCAATCGAGTTATTTTACTGGGAAGTAGGATTACGGAATCATGGATTCAGACTTGGAAGGGGCTTTCGGGGTCATCGAGTCCAGATGAGAAAACTGAGGCAGCAGAAGTTAAGTGACTTTCCCAGGGTCACACATCTAGTGAGTCTGAGGTAGGAATCAAACCCAGGTCTTATTGACTCTCAGTCCCTGCCCTACAATGCCTGTCACTGCAGTAACTATGCATGACTCTGTTGACATGAGCAGCCCCACTCGGAGTTAACAGATTGTTGACTCTCTGAGAGGCAGCTCAGTACAGTAGAAGCCATCATGGAGTCAGCAGTCAGGAGTTCAAATCCTGACCCTGCCACTTTCTAAGCCGAGTACTGGAAAATAATTAACTTGTATGAGCCTCAGTTTCCTCATCTGTAAAGTGGCCTTTCTGCTTATAGGGTTCTGAGGATCGACTGAACTGCTGTCTAGAAAGCACTTTATCAACCATAGAATATCCATGGGTATATGTGAGCTCTTTTTTTTCTTTTTCTTTTTTTTTTTTTAGGCAATTGGTCTGAGGTCGGATTTGAACTCAGGTCCTCCTGACTTCAGGGCCGGTGGTCCATCCATTGCGCCACCTAGCTGCCCCTAGGATTATTCCATCTTAATAAAGATGCTCTATCTCCAGACTCCAGTCGTTTTCTCTGGCTGTGCTCCATGCGTGGAATGGTCTCCTGCCTCATCTTCCCCTCTGGTGTCCCAAGCTTCCTTCAAGTGGGAGCTCAAAGCCCACCTTCTACAGGAAGCCTTTCCTGGTCTTCCCAAATACTAGCAACTCTGCTTTCTCAACTACCTCCAATTTATCCCACCTGTATCTCTTTTGTACATAGCTGTTTGCGTGTTGCCTTCCCCATTCGACCGTGGGCTCCTCGAGAGCAGGGACTGTTTTGTGCCTTTCTTTGTATCCCCAGTGCTTAGCACAGTCGCTGGCACTAGTAGGTGCTTAATAAATGCTCGTTGGGTGACAGTGTCTTCCTTGGGTTGTCAACGGATCTGGGATCTCATTTATGGGGCTACTCCCCCTAGTGGTTCAGCTCCCACCCATGCACGCCTGTCCTGAGCCACTCTGGTCTATGTCCATTGGTGCTTTTAGCGTATGTAAATGACAAGCTGTGTGAATTTCCACATCCTGTATTTGTCGTGGGGAAATGAGCTCTGCCAACACATTGGGACATTGGGATGCTGTCGTCTGCAGTGAAGATGGAGGTGGGAAAGAGGCGGGGAGAGTGGAGTATCCGACTCAAGCAGACGAAAGGTTGGGTTCTATGAAGGCACTTGAAACAAAACCCAATGGCAGAAGTTTGATAATTGTTCTTCTCTACTGTTGCCAATGGGACAGCATGAGGACATGTTAGCCCCAGAAAGAGAATCGTTTGTTGAATGACTGATTGACCTGGACTATCAAGACGGATTTAGGACTGGGCGCATCTTCACCAGGAGTTCAGCGAGCAGGACAAGTGTCCCAGCTGGACCACTCAGATGTATGGGGGAATAGTGAGGTCTTTTCCTAGGGGGTGATTTTAGATAGTAGGTGCTGTCCAGGGGGAACCTGAGGAGAGATGAGCAGGCAGAGATCTCAGTGGGGGCATCTGGGAGTGGTCTGAAGCATGCCTAAGGCTGAGGAGTGACTCTGATGTGAAGTTATTAGTTATTAAAGAATATGTGTTCACGTGTGGGCATGATTAGTAAAATCAAGAAGAGATCAATTTGAGGAAACTTAATTTATGTGTGGCAGCTAGATGGCGCAGTGGATAGAGCGCTGGTCCTGGAGTCAGGAAGACCTGAGTTAAAATCTGGCCTCAGACGCTTCCTCGCTGTGTGACCCTGGGCAAGTCACTTCATCTTGTTTGCCTCAGTTTCCTCATCTGTAAAATGAGCTGGAGAAGGAAATGGCGAATTATTCTAATATCTTGGCCAAGAAAACCCCAAATGGGGTCACAAACAATCACATACAACTGGACAACAACATATATAGATAAACACACATATACTATACATATTCAATACACATAAATTTTTGTTATTGTTCAGTTGTGTCTGGCTCTTTGTGACCCCATTTGGGGTTTTCTTGGCAAGAATACTGCATCGTTTTGTCATTTCCTTCTCCAGCTCATTTTACAGGTGAGGAAACTGAGGCAAACAGAGTTAAGTGACTTGTCCAGGGTCACACAGCCAGGAATTATCTGAGGTGAGATTTGAACTCATGAGTCTTCCTGACTCCAGGCCCAGCACTTTATCTACTGTGCCATCTATCTGCCCCTTTGTGGGTGTGTGTATACACATACATATGTGCATACACACAAGCATACATATATAGTTAGGTCTTACTTAGTGAGAATAATGAATCTTGTGAAGTAATCGCATAATTTGAATTTTCATTATATATTTCCATTGGACTGAAACCAATTACCATATTTTACATATAATTATATCTCAAATGCTATGAATTCAAACAATCCAAACTGCTCTGAGACCTATCTGGGGAGCAAATCTGTGATTTTATTAAAACAGGACATTTCTGCTAAGGAAATTCTCTCTAATGGTGCAGAGCACTAACCTTAATAGGTAGGACACAAAGAGATTAAGTGACAGGCCCAGGGCCACATAGATATGACATGTCAGAGGCAAAACTTGAATTCAGGTCTTCTTGACTCTAGCAAAGGTCAGGAGCATTTTGTCCCTAAAATTGCACATACACATACACACATATGTATATGTATATATGTGTAAGTGTATGTGTGTATGTATGTATATGTGTGAGTATACATAGATATGTGCACACATGTATGTATGTGTGTTTATTATATATTATATAATATATACATATACCCAATGCTATTCATGGATGCTCTAAATCTATAATTGAGAGAATGTGGGGGTACAATAGGGCACACTATATTTAGAGAGTACTGTGAGATCGTCAAGCATCAAGGGCTAAATTGTACGGAACAGGAGCTAAGACAAACAGCATAGAGAGGGTGAAATCAGGGGATGGAGGCAGGAAGGGAAATGACTTAACTGGAGGAGAATCTTAGTTGAGGAATATTAGGACATAAAAGGAGAGATGTGAAGTGTGGAGAATGTTTCTTTTCCTTGGAAAAGTGAGGGACTGCAAGGGCAGAATATCACATACACTGTCAGACTTGGTTGCTATGGCCATTTGTTTTCCTTAACTGTCTTTCTTTTTCTCCTTCCTTCCTTCCTTCCTTCCTTCCTTTCTTCCTTCCTTTCTTTCTTTTTTCTTTCTTCTTCCTTCCTTCTTTTCTTCCTTCCTTCCTTCCTTTCTTTCTTTTTTCTTTCTTCTTCCTTCCTTCCTTTCTTTCTTTTTTCTTTCTTCTTCCTTCCTTCCTTTCTTTCTTTTTTCTTTCTTCTTCCTTCCTTCTTTTCTTCCTTCCTTCCTTCTTCCTTCTCCTTCCTTCCTTCCTTTCTTTCTTTCTTTCTTTCTTTCTTTCTTTCTTTCTTTCTTTCTTTCTTTCTTTCTTTCTTTCTTTCTTTCTTTCCTTCCTTCCTTCCTTCCTTCCTTCTTTCTTCTTTCTTTCTTTCTCTTTCTTCTTTCTTTTCTTTCTTTCTTTCTTTCCTTTCTCTTCTCCTCTCTCTCTCTCTCTCTCTCTCTCTCTCTCCTCTCTTCTCTCTTTCTTTCTTTCTTTCTTTCTAAGGAGAGAGGGAGGTGATGAAATGTGGAAATCATGATATATGAAACAAAGGCATCAATAAAACATCAAATTTTTAAATAGTTAAACAGTTGTCAAAATAATGAAAAAAATAACCTTTCTCTCCTGTTTTGTTGTCTCTCTCTCCACCCCTCCTGTCCCGATGATTCCAGGTGTTCTCTGCCTGCCAGACAGCCTGACCCTTCACCGAGACCCCCAGAGGCCAAGCAAGCCCGGAGAGTTGCCCATGTTCAGCCAGTCAGAGCTAAGGACCATCGAGCAATCCCTGCTGGCCACGCGTGTGGGCAGCATTGCAGAGCTGAGTAAGTAAGGAAGGGACTCAGCCTGCTTGTGATCTGGCCAAGTCTCCTTTGTCTTATGACAGACCCTCCCTATGCCCATACTCAGGGTGTAGGGCCAGGGGGGTATATTTCCAGCAATGAATTAACCAGCTACTACTTGTGGGCTACTATAGGCAAAGAACAGTGGGAAGGGTCTTGGGAGATAATAATAACAAATACTCGTAGAGTGTCTTCAAATTTCCAAAACGATTTACAAACATTATTTCATAGGATCTTAGATTGAGGCTGGAAAGGACCTCAGAACTCACTGGGGCCAGCCCCATCATGTTCCAGATGAGGAAACAGAAGAAGCCCAGAGAAATTAAATGACTTGACCAAGGACACACAGCAAGTAAGGGTCTAAGGCAGGAATTGAATCTAGGTCTTCCTGATTCCAAGTCCATTTCAATAGTCCCTCTCACTTGAGCCTCACAAGTTTTCTTCATGGAAAAGGTTGCATTTGAGTTGGGTTTTAATGGATGTGATGGGCAGCTAGATGGCGCCATAGTGGATAGAGCACTGGGCTTGGAATCTGGAAGACTCATCTTCATGAGTTCAAATCTGGCCTCAGACACTTCCTAGCTGTGTGACCCTGCACAAGTCATTTAACCCTGTTTGCCTCACCCCAAAAAAAATTTAAAAAAAAAGAATTCTGAGGAGAGGAATGATGCGACCAGGTTTATGCATAAAAGGACACAGCTTCCTATGTACAAAAATATTTATAGTGGCCATTTTTATAGTGGCAAAGAACTGGAAACTAAGGGGGTACCCATTCATTGGGAAATGGCTGAACAAATTAGAGTGCATGAATTTTTGATGAAATATTGTTGTTCCATAAGAAATGATGAAAGAAATGGTTTGGGAGAAACCTGGGAGGATGTGCATGAACTGATGCAGAAGAAAGTGAGCAGAACCAGGAGAATGACTCAGAATAGCAACATGGTAATAATGAACAACTTTCAAAAATTCAAGAACTCCAATCAACGCACTAATTTCCCACGATTCCCTAGGACAGCCTCTACTTATCCATTCAGGGCTGCTCAGTGTGCCACCTGCTTTCCTGACTTCCCAGGGTAAAGAAACTCAAATTGTTTTTACTTCGGATCCCACTGCTTGGTTGATTATTGAATGGTGTGTTCATTCCTGATGAAATTGGAGCATGGATCCCAGGAAGGACAGATTAAGCTCATGGGAATTGAATCCTGGTACAGGACTGTCTCTGTACCTCAAGCTACAGGGATCCTTGCAATTCCTTCTCAATGGGCTAGCTATATAGATGGGTAGATACATGGATGGATAGATAGACAGACAGACAGATTGATGGATAATAGATAGATAGTGGATATATAGGTAGATAGACAAAACATATAGATAGATGGGTAGGTATAGATTAGAGATAGTTAGACATACATACATAAATACATAGATAGTTCTCAAGTAGCCACATATAGTTACATACCTATATACGTACATGCATGTATAGCAGAGTAGAGTTGACCTCAGTTCTGTATACACACATACACACACACACAAACACACAACATATATTTAGCTTATTGTAAAGGACCTCAGTATCCCCCAGATTAGGTGATCAAAGAATCTTAGAGTTTGAATCTCATTCGATTGTGAGCTCCTTAAGGGCAGACTGTCTTTTGCCTTGCATCCCCAGCACTTAGCACAGTTCCTGACTCATAGTCGGTGCTTAATAAATACATATTGCTTGCTTGATTAGAAGAAATCTTGGAAATCTATTCCAGCCAGTACACAACTTTCTAGCCTGGGTTGGATGTCAAGGGCAAGGAAAAAGTCCAAAAGAACTCCAAACATATGGTGATACCACCCTCCAGGACTGTTGTTACTGTACTGTGAAACTTTGATGGATCTATGGTTTCACTGATGTGGAAATGCCTTCCAATGGGGCCTATTACAACCCTTCTGTGCATTTTCATTCTCCGTAATTCTTGTCCACCTCTTTCTAAGAGTCCTCCATAGGGGATCTACCCAGTGTGCTGGTGTCCTTGGATTCATAGGGTCAGAGCTTTCAGGCTGGAAGGGAGCTAAGAGCCAATCTAGTCTGACCTTCTCATTTTATAGGTGAGGAAACTGATGCTCAGTGACTGGTCCAAAGGCATACAGGTCAGAAGAGGTAGATATGGCACCTGAACCCCTGAGCTCCAACTCCAGAGCGAGTATTCTTTACCTAGTACCCCTCTTCCTTCCTCTGATTCTTCAGACATTTCAGAGATACCAGAGATGCCACTCCTGGGCTGACCCCCTCACTTGCATTACATGAATGAGAGAGAGACAGAGACAGAGACAGAGACGAGACAGAGACAGAGACGAGACAGAGACAGAGACGAGACAGAGAGTATGTACATATTTATTAAGTGCTTGATATGTGCCCAGCACTGTGCTAAAAACTGTGCAAACAAGACAGCCCCTACTCTCAAGGAGCATACATTCTAATGGGGGAATACAACATATAAAAGGATACCAGAAAGCAGGGGATGAGGAAGGATAATTACCCACATGAAGGCAAGGCTATCAGAGGAGGGAGAGAGAAGTCCAGAGGAGGAGGAATGGAGTCCAAAGTGGATGAGCATGGCTTGAGTTGATCAGATCAGTGGTTCTCAATGGGTATTCTGTGATAAACGATCACATCACTAGTTTTGCTAGATAAGCTGTGAAAATTGTATATTATTGTAGATAACAGAAAATTTATAAATAATTTCCACATAAATTGCACTAACCCTGCACACATAGTAAAGTAAGTACAGTATTTTCAGAGCAAGCAAAATTAGCCTATTATATGCATATGCTAGCCTTCCAAACACATCAAACCTTGAAGCCGCTGAGCCCTCAACAAAAATGACTGGTCCTTTTGAAAGAAAACCATGCATGTGCAAAGGCTTCAACCCTCTAGGAGTCTTGCCATCTTAAATACTCAGGCTACCACAGTTCCTCATAACAAAGTTTACTGTGACAAAAGCAACAGTTGTTTGAGAATCGTTGGATGAGGTGATTGAAGAGGTGAGGGGAAGGGAAAGGTCAGAGACCAGGGAAGGACCTTGGACTTTATCTAGGCCAAGAGGGACAACTGTGGCTAGAGAAGAAGGAAAAATCAGAGCCTTGGGGGAAAGATCCTCACCCAGCAACTCCCACCACCAAGACAAAAAGAGACACTTTCTCTAGCTTGGTGTCACTGGGGTAAGTAAATATTGATCGAGGCCCCACCCAAGACAATGTTTTAGGCTCTGTGAGGACCTCAGTCTTCCTGGGTAGTTAAGGCTACAGATGGGTAGATTTCTGATGATATGAGGCTTCACATGGTAAGTAATTTAAGGTAATTTAGCAGAACTAAATCATGAAGCAAAAACTGGAACAAATTATACCAATTTGCTAAATCATGAACCAAGTCAAAGTTTCATCTACAGAAATAGAATATACCAGAGGCAGGACAGGCGGTAGAAGAGAGAAAGTCCCAGCTGGAAGGAACCTCAGACTATGGAATGTCAACCCTGGGAGGGGCCCAAGAGTTCGAGATGGAAGGGTTCTGAGAACTTAGATGATCAGAGCTAAGGGAGATCTCGGGATGCAGTGTCAGAACTGGGTCGTCCCTTAGTGATCATTTAGTCGGACTGCCTGACTTTATAGGGAATTGATTCAGAAGGGCCAAGTGTCTTGCCAAGGTCCCATATGGAGCTAGCTGTGTCCTGATCGCTGTACTATATTGTCTTCTTAAAACTGGAATTGGATCTTTAAGTTTTCTAATACGATGGAGGTGTGGGGGGGGGAATAACCAGGTCTTTATTCTGTCATCCAGAACAATATTTCATTTGGCTCCAGTCCCTGGATAACCCACAAGTTACATCACAGTTGAGGCAGGGAGAGGGCATCAGTGACTTAGCAGAACACAAGATTTAGCTGTGTGACTGTTGTCAAGTCACTTATAATTTCTCTCAGCCTCAGTTTCCTCATCTGTCAAGTGGAGATAATAATGACTTATTATTGTAAGGGAAATACTTTATAAAGTATTATATGAAGTGTTTTATATATAATACTTTATAAAGTATTATGTAAATTATATATAAAGGGACTATGGTCTCTAAAGGACTATAGACGTGTTCATTGCTATTATTGGTTCATGGTTGAGTTAGCAGCCTGGTCCTTCTCTCCCTGCACCGGCCAGTGGTACTGGGGACCTGGTGTTCAGGCTTCCTCCCATGGCTGCCAGGCTTAGCTTGAAGGCTAAAATGAATGAATGAATGAATGAATGAATAGTGAAAGACAATCAGTCCTTCGTATCACCTTTTTGCTAGATCAGCTGTATTCTCATCTACTTGAGGACATCATTTTTTAATGTAAAAAAAAATGGTCTCAGATGGTACCTCCCCCTCGTCCTCCTGATAGTAACTGTCTGTTAGAATCCATTGGTTGAGAAACTATATGACCTGGATCCATAGTTCATATGTTGGCTGGTGTTGCCGAATTGATTTTTTCCCTTGTCTTTCTTTTTATTCTTTGTTCCAAGAGATGACTCCCTAGGAAGGGAAGACAGGAGGGATATATTCAGAAATGGAGGTGATGGAAAATTTTTAAAATAGTAATAAAAGTAAGATTTTTTAAAAAGAAAATATATGACCAGACAGAGACGCTGGTGATGCCCCCGTGACCCCCGAAGGAGTCCAGCGTTCACAGCCTGGGCATTGCTGTCTATACAGGATGGTCTCCAAGTTCCCTTCCAAATCCAAAATTCTGTCATCTTAGCATCTAGAGCGAGAGTTCTTCCTCTGGGTTCATGGATAGACTTCAGGGCATCTGTGAACTTAGATATGAACTTATTTTGACTAACCTCTAACTAAAATTTGGCATTTCCTTCGATTATGAATTTTTTAAAGTTATTCTGAGAAGGGTTCCATATGATTCACTAGATTGCTAATTTTAAAAAATGTTAAGAACTCTTGATTCGGAAGAATCTTTAG